GAGCCTGGAAAGGTCAAATTGAGATGCGATCTACTCAGCCAAACACTTTCATAACCCTAGCAGATAAAACTTGATAAATCGATTTGTGTTCGCATAAGAAACAGCTTCATTCAAACACCTACCGTTTATTTGTCGTAAGTATTTAAGTTAGTTGGTGGATAGCCGCCGCACAGAGTAATACATGGTCGATAACTGGGTCCATGTCAGATCATTGGATCAGCCTGAGGTATGGCGCTAGGTCACGCGTGATGACAAGACACTCCTCCTTGCGGTTCATTTTTGAATTATCAATTAATGCCGAGGTTAACAGAAAGTCGGTCATGGGAGTTATCACTGTATTTTCTGCACTAAACCGAGATCTGTAAAACACTGTGTTGTGGTTTCAAACCTGAGAACCAGCTCTCTGTTTTAAGTGGTTTACAAGAAAAAACTGTTTTTCGAACAAGTTCATTTAGCACCGCACAGTATTGGTGTTAGAAGGGATCACCATAGAGACTTTCTTTAGCCAAGCGTACAAGCGTCCATTTGGTCCACTTCAGGTTGCAGCTTGAAATTTAGAAACACGTTATCACTACGACGAGATGGTAAATCACTGAAAAGATCTGTACAAATGCAAATGTTGCATACTTCGTGTCGGCAGAACCAGTGATTTAATAAGGCTTCCATTAATGTTTTCCACATTGTGCACTTTGTCCAACTCTTGTTTCTGCTAACCTTCTATTGAAGGACAACTGAAGAGTGATGATAAAAATCTTGAGATAACATCTGCCGGCTAAGTTTCAGAAAGCATCGCTAAAACGCTCTATGGATGGTGCGTAGAGCTCTTGATGTCAATAGTGTACCAGCACACGTCTGTGCTACATAAAAGGGCGCTAGGAGGAGTGTCCAATAGAAAAAAAATGAGCGAGGATTTTTGCGTCCTTTAGTTGGTAGATGGCTTTTTTGAGAGGCTCGAATGCGGCACATGCTGCTTTCGTTCTTCTGTCTAATTCCTCCTTCATGTTCATCAAATGCCCAGGGTGCACGCACAAGGTGGTCGCTGTAATAGCAGAACCATCCAGTTCGATTTATTCGCCTCTGCACCATGAATTCGGGTCTTCGTCCCATTTCTATGCAGTGCAAGCCCCTTTTTCCGATTCGTTGATCTCATTTGCGTCGTCTTTGCTTCGTTGATACTCGTTGAAAATATAACGACGGCTTCTGCGAACAGAAGATTTGGTAGGAATTTTCAATCAAAACGTATGTCCTTTCTGTCCTATTCCAGGGGCTTTAGTGTCCACTGCAGTGATTTAGCAAACACCTTTACCGAAACTGTGTCGCCATGTCGAACTTTTCCCATGGGTTTTTGGTGGGAGAAGGTTGGAGACTTTGATGCAGAAGTCGCCATCCTCGTACAGGAATCTTGAACTTCTGCGCGTGAAACCCTAGAAGCGCTTTGGATGAGTTTCAAGGATCCAAAAGTGAACAGCGAGAAAGAGTGCTTCATTATCATGCGTGATCCCGAACGATATCTCAAGTTGATTTTGTAAGGCTCTATGCTACTGGTCTCCATCACAAACTGAAAGAGTTATGGAGAACAAAACGGTTGCTGGTAGCAGCGATTAGTAAAAACATGGCCGAGAGATAGGCAAAAGAAGAACCTTGGTTGGCGTGGTGAATACTACGCGAGCTTCTTGTAAGGGCTATGACCGGCTCGGAGCCCATGTGTCGCTCCGCGTTTTGCTGATGTCTCAGCACACTTGTGGTTCTATTCCACCTAAAAGGGTGGAATAAAAGGTGCTTAATGAGTGTTTAAAAGAAGCTCTTTCCCATTTGACTGAAATTTTTATATTTATTTGCATATTGTCACCATACATGAGATTGTGGTGTGCTAGAGAACGTACTGTGTGGATAAGAGTACGATTCTGACCCCAGTAGTATACCACTCGGCAACCTAAGGGCGAGTGAAGCGCAGTCCTTAAGATGCTCTTCATTCCATATGCGGTCTCTGGATCAATCCAGTACCACGGTGCCTCCAGTGCCGCTTCATTAAGCTTTCCATTTCTTCGGCGTCAGCAAATTGATACCAGACCTATCTGGGAAGACAGGAGTACTAACGTGATAAATCGAGTCCACCGCAAGTGTATATTGGCCAGACGTGCACTCAGTCTTCCCTAACGATGCTTGATTATTTATTTATGTGATCTTATAAACTGATCTTCTTAAGCTGGCGCGAGGTTGGTACAGATCTTCGTTGTCGTTGTCGTTGTCGTTGTTTTTGATGTTATTGAATGATGGCTGACGTTTCGGCGACTTCGCCTTCCTCAGAGCCTGGACGTACTTTATGTTAGAATACTTTTTTTTTAGAATATTATTAAACCGACAGTCAGAGTATATAAAATTTACACGAGAAAAACCTACCGGGAACTGGCTTCCATTCTTAAACATCCAAATAAAGCTCTCAGTAAGTGGCTATGTAACAAAATGGTATCGCAAGCCAAGTAGTAAAAACATTCTAGTTCGCTGCCTCTCCTCTCATCATTCACTCATGAGGAAAGCACTTATCAAAAATATGTATCGTACGGCTAAAAATGTGTGTACAGGAGAAGAGGAAAGGAAAGAATCGCAAAACCTGGCACGAAAAATTGCCATTTCCAATGGCTACGAAGTAGAAGCCACTCGGGTTAGAGGAAAACGTTGGGTAGTTTCCCAAAATAATATTTCAGACGACAGTAGGATCTCCTTTAAGTTGCCCTTCATATCAAACNAATCGCGAAACCTGGCACGAAAAATTGCCATTTCCAATGGCTACGAAGTAGAAGCCACTCGGGTTAGAGGAAAACGTTGGGTAGTTTCCCAAAATAATATTTCAGACGACAGTAGGATCTCCTTTAAGTTGCCCTTCATATCAAACGAAGTAAGTCACGCCATTAAAAAAGTGCTTAAGAAAAAGTGGTCTTGAAAATTATGTAACGATTGTTGACATCCCACCCAATACCCTACGCCGCCAGTTAGTTCGAAACCGTCTCTATGATCGTTTGTGCAGCTCAGAAAACTGTATGATCTGTCCTAACGGGAGAGACGGGGATTGCATGAGTTTAGGAATAATATACTTGATCTCATGTAATGCATGCGGCGAGGAATATATCGGGGAAATGGGTAGACCACTTTGTGTCCGCATAAAAGAACATCTAGATGGGAAGGCTAAAATCCGTCTAAACACTCCTCTAGGTACGAATAGGGCACAAAAGCACAACGGCGATGATTTTGAAGTGAATGTACGGATCCTAGCGCAGGAATCAAAAGCATCAACGCGCAAAACTCTTGAGGCGTTTTGGATAAATTTCAAAAATCCAAAGATGAACCGGAAGGACGAATGCCTCACTATCACGCGTGACCTGGCGCCCTATTTCAAATATCCTTTACGCTTTTTTCATCATGCTGTCATTTCCTCTAGTCATCTCAGCTTCAACACTCGACAACCCAAAGAACTGCAAAAAGTCGGTCTATAAAGGATAAAGGATAAAGCTCTCGACGTTGATCGATTCCTGAGGGACGCGCCATCTACTCGATTTCATTAAGCATCGTTGGCCTTCCAACGGTTTACCGCCTCATCGTTGCTGGGAGGTGTTCCTGGGTGTCGGATTGCGATGTACACCTGGTGGATTCATCTCACCGGCAGGGTCTCCTAAGCTGAGAAGGACTCCGGCGTTTCCATCAGGAAGCCCACCTAACAGTAAACCAATACCAGGATCCATCATCGCCCTGTTACCAAACTAGTCGCATGGTGGCAAATTTCCCTCTGATCCACAAGGGCTACGACTGCCTGTCGCGGTGACGACCTGGAGCAGACTTTGGCCAGGCTGTACTCGGGATTCCAAGGAAACACAATGGCTAAATTAAGTCAGCAAAACTCCGAAAAGTGTAGAATATTCTAGGGCTCACGCAACCAGTGAGGACGGGCCTTCCAAGTATCGAAATAAGTAATCAACGTTGGAGGTGACTGAATGCATGTTCGGTCTTTTAAATGACTCGCGGTGGCGTACCGACGTATCGAGCCAGTGCCACAATCCTCCGAGACACGTTAGGTACCAATTTGTCGACCACGGAGGGATGAAAGGCTTGGTGAGGCTTGGGCGCGGGGATCGATTTTATCATCCTTGAGCATTACCAAGACAAGAAGCACTTCTACTAAAGGAAGACACATGCAGTGAAAATTAGAAAAAGCCGTCGTTTTAAAAGTGTTTCCGTAAATACACAGCTCACAAGCGATTTCGCTTCCGTGATGTTATTTCTGCAGACCCCATTCCCAGTTATTTCTAGCCAGCGTTTCGTTCTAGGTGTTCCACATCTCGGAAGGAATACTTGTGGATTTCGTCACTTCCATTAGATAATATTGATCTGATTCAAAAATTTCGTAAGAATAATCCCGGGTTTGGTTTTTGTTGTTTTGCTTTGTACAGTTATTGGGGTCTTACTAGCGAGTTTTCGTAACTTTTGTAGTATGAACGTTTCATTTACTCTATTTCAAGCTATCGACTTCATATTGGGAGTTTTTTTTCCTTAGAAGAAAAATAAGCACGCTTTTCGTTTTCGAAGGGTGCGGGGCACAAAAATAAGAAGTAACTCTGATTTGCTACTCGACAAGGTACACCTACTGCGGGAAATACATGGATTCGGGGTTCACGTTTTGCCCACTTATGAAATTGAGCGTTTCGAAGAGCGGGATTATGGAAACCACGAAGTATTGTAGAATTCTAAGTACGAGTGTCTCCAAATGGCATGTTTGGTTGTCATTTGCTTGAAGCCTGAATCCTTGGGTCTATTAGGTCAATAATTTTACATGGTTCATATCACGTTATCACCCCGTGCAGGTGGTAATCCAGTTGCGATATTATTTTCATTTCACCTCGTATGTTTGTTTCTGAGTCTGGCGCCTTAGACCACTTGACCATCCGTGCCCGTGTCTGTCTCAGGTGATGTTTGCTTTTTAAGAGATAATACAACATTCTTATAGCGCTATGACTTCTCGCAGGAGGGGAGTGCGTAGTTGCGTCGAAGACGACGTTCAGCACGGGGCGCCACTGCCGAGGAGAGCCAAGAATCTGGCCAATGTCAGTATACACGCTCAGCTGATGGATCAGAACGAAGGTAATTCTTCTCGTCTTCACGCCTGGAAGTGTTTTCAGAAGCATTTACGATGTTCAGCCACTTGGGACTTTCGAAGAATCAATGTAGCATACTGTTCTCTGTTTTAGGGACTTCAGAACCGTCGCATACATCTCTGTCTTCTACAAAAACTGAGATCATCGACTGTAAAGAAGAGGTAGTGGGTATGTCCAGTCAAGGAGATGCGGAAACGGCTTCGGATCTCTGCGCCATATGTCTTATGCCGTAGGTTTTACGTTATATTTACTGATGAATTACCAGTCTGTTCTATAAAAGAAATGGTGAATTACACACCGAGACATTTCGCTTTAGAACTCCTGACAGTACAGAAAAGTTGTCTAGAATTTCTCTCACTTGTGAATTGTTAGCGTAAGTAACACCATCGTACAGGCCATTCTTTAGACTATGTCCGCAGGTTTGATATCGGTGGCATTACTGGTCCCAGCATAATCTCCATTTTTTCGGAGTTTTCCTGGTTTAGCTGTTGTGGTTCCCTGGGGCTCCGAAGTCAGCCTTGCCAAAGCCTGCCCGATGTCGTCACCACCACAGGCAGTCGCCTCCCTTGTAGATCAGAGGGGATTTACCCGTCGTGCGATTAGTTTGACACCAGGACGGTGGAAAATCCTGGTATTGCTTTACTGTTAGCTGGGTTTCCTGGTAGAAACGCCGAACTCTTTCTCAGCTTGTTAGACCCTTCTAGTGGATGAATCCCACCAAAGTCCATCGCAGCCCGAGATCCAGGAACACCTCCCAACCACGATGAGGCGGTAGACTGTTGTGAGGCATCTATCACATTAGCATTCGTATTATTATTGCACAAGATGAGGAAAACAGGATGTATAACAAATATCGTTTCTTGTAAAGGGAGGTCATCGTAGAAAATCCACATAACCTTGTATTCCTAGCATATCTGCTCCTTACGGACGTGTTGCGAAGTTTTTTCACATCTAATTTTATTCGCAGTCTTGCTTGTAGTATTTCCCTAAATATTCTATGTAAAAGGTGCGGGAAGACATATGCACAGCTGTAGCGTAGAAATGGATGCTCGAAGATTTCTACCCATTTTGCCGAGTTCTCATCGTTCACATGATTTTATCGACGGTTAAGGAAGTCCAGTGAATTGAATTTGTGGTAGAGAACCAATTGTGGACGCCCTATGAGGTCCTGGTTTAAGAGCTTTTTTTTTCCAACGATGGCGCTAGGATATGCGAAAAGTTGCCTCGTTCTGGAAAAGCTGTTATGTTTTACAAAAACACTTCGTAGAAAAATTTGTGATCCTTCACATGCGAACTCGTGCGAAATAGAGCATTTAACTCGTATATAATGCTGAGATATTTGCAAAACTCTGGACCGCAGGTGTCTGCGGTGAGGAACGAACGCGCTATTGTCCTTTCCGGGGAGTAACGCGTTCCCCACCACACCATGCGGGTCCTTTGTTTCGCCTGTCTCTCAGCTATTTCTATCGATCTTTTTTGCCATCAGCAATCACCCGTCAACGGGATTGATCTGGGAACCCAAATCGGCATTGAACCCAGTTAAGCTGAGGCTTAATTGCTGATGGCAAAAAAGATCGATAGAACTAGCTGAGAGACAGCAAGACGAAGGACCCGGATGGTGTGGTGGTGAACGCGCTACTCTCCGGGAAGGACAATATCGCCTTCGTTCCCCACCGCAGACACCTTTAATGCGGATAGAGCATTTAGTTACCCACAATATCTTCTATGGAACTTGGTGGTAGGAAATGACAGCTGAGTTCTTCACAAGAACGATACAAATCACACCTTCCGGCTCACCAGAGTCCTCATCCAAAACTTGGTTCTTCCTGACGTGACGCCGCTGGTGCTCCAAGACTGTCAACATATCATATTCCGGGAGATGCTTGAACAAAACCAGGTGATCGAAACCAACCGCTACACATAGCAAGTTAGCATGCACGTCGTTGCTATGAAGGCAAAGCAACTAAGACAGCTCAGAAATCGGCTTTACTTTGACAGTGGTAAAGTTGACTCTGAAACAATCGGTGGAATTTGGCTTGATTAATATTCACCACCTCCCAACGGTGTACCACCTCATCATGGCTAGGTGTTCCCAGGTGTCGGAATACGTTGTACGGTGGAGGGATTCATTCCCTCGGCACGGTCCCTCAAAGTGAGGAGTCCGGCATTTCCTTCAGGAAGTCCAGCTCAGAATAAACCAATACCAAGGTCCGTCACCGTCCTGGTATGAAACTAGTCGCATGGTGGCGAATCTCCCTCTGATCCACAAGAACGGGGACCGCCTGTGGTGTTGACGACTTGGGGTAGGTTTTGTCCCGGCTGACCTCGGGACTCCTGGAAACCACAATAACTAAACCAGCAAAACTCCGTAACACTTATGCTGGGGCCCACACAACCAGTGAGGACGCGCGATCCAAGTACCCAAGTAAGTATCGTTCACCACACCGTACACCTAGGACATAAAACCTTCAAACTGTCATTTATTCCGATCCCTGAACCATCCCTTGCTCTCGAAATCCAGCGCTTGAAAGCTCAAAAGTCTTCGCCAATTTCTTACGTCTCAATATGTTTTTGTGAGAAAATAACATCCAGGACATGCTTAGGAAGTGCCTATGGCAATAAGGCTAAATATTTGGCTGGTCAAATTCGTATTTCCTATGGTGTTTGTTCTTGAGGAATAAATCAAAAACTGAAAATATAGACGTGGTACCACTTTTGTTTGCTGTTATGTGCTTTTTATGTTTATCTCTTCTTGTGGGGCCAAAATTTTTCTTAAGGAGGACCGATCCAACATTGCTCGATAGTTGCTATCATTCGTTCTGCTTCATTTGCACATCACAGTGGTTAAAACACGCTGGAAAATGTCCACTCTGTATGACACCAGTTAGCTCATTTTACCATAACTTAGATCTTCCACCAGATTTACGTCCATTGTGAGTCTTTTGTGTTTCGTTTTTGTTGATTGCATATATTGTTTCCTTTTTATCCATTTCTTCCGACCATTGGGCACTTCATTCTAGAGTATCGGTAGCCGAGTTGCGTGCTGCAGCGGAAGCAGCGCGACTGGTCGAAAGAGGACGATCTTTGCCTCCTCTGAACGAGCAGGAATGCGTTAAACTACGCATACGACGTCTGCAGAGGCGGCTGCACACTGTTCAGGAGCAGATGTCATAGTCCTATCTATAAAGTTACATAGTTACTTCAGCTGATATTTTCTTTCTTTAGGAGCAAAAGCTCTCGAGTAGATCAGTCTTCTGAACTTGCCAGTACTAGTGTACGTCTTGTCAATGAAATTAGCAGACTTGAAATGGTTAAGCGAGATTCGACAACAAGGTATAGGTTGAGGAGTTTGTCCTTTTATTGGTGTTCATATTTTATTTTCTTGGATTTTAGTGTTTGAATAGCTTGTCTTCACAAATAGTTGTGTATGAGGAATCTCAACACCACTTACAACTAGCCTCTATCTTTTTTTCCTCTTAATCAACGGAACTAAGATGGTAGCGACTTCCGAGATCGGTTTTCTCTTAGCTGGGCTTTCAAGTGGAAGTATCTAACGGCTTTTCGGGTAGCTTGACCTTCTTAAGGGGATAAATACTATGCCGTACATTGCACTTCGTTATCAGGAAACATCCCAGGAACAATAGGACAGTAGATCATTGGTAGAGTTGTTTATTTTGCTTAATCTCCAGTTGTTGTTTTTTCATTTATAAAATTATAGGTGTGAGCTTGTTAGCAATATTACTTTTCGATCATTGATATACAAAGACAATCTTGAGTGGAGCTCTATTGACCGTAATGCGAACAGGGTAAGTATGCTGTTAATCTTCCGATTTTTCCAGAAAGCTAAGCGTGTGCAGTTTTTCACTATTTTAGGTGCGTTTTTCGCCAGAGGTTTTCAATGCCAATGTAGTTGCTTCAACTGAACGGTTGCGTCCTTTTGTGGATCGTGAACTGAAAATTGTCTGGCGCAGTGTACGTTTTTCGGAATCAGTGTTTGTCGAACTCTGAACTCTCGAAAGCCTTTCTGTAGGCTATTTTTATCCTTGTTTGCTATAATTCGATCTCGTTCATGAATTTTGCTATAACAAGTATATGAGAGGCGGCGGTGGGGATATATACCCACCGAGTCGTATTTATATAGAAGTTCGATCTAATTAACTTTCAGTGTAAACTTTTTTTTAAAATGTACTCTTGTTCAACTCATTCTTTCTTGATGCATTATAGAAATGATGGGGAATTAAGTCCCGAAGGTGGAAACACTTGTTTCCCTGTAAGTGCACTGAAGCACCTCTAATAATAATCTCTATATATGGCCGACCCCGGAGAGATGGAAGGCTTGGTGAGTCATGTGCGCGAAGATCGATTTCACATGTATGTTATAGGGCGCCTCCGACCACTGTTCCAAACATGCCCTTACATATGGTACAATATAGCATTAGAATATAATATAATATGTCGTATGAAAATTGGAAGTTGATTAATTTGCTTTATTGGTTAGATAACGACACAGGTAAATCAGATGTACTGAGGGTTTCCACTAGTTAAACTTTTTCTTTTACTTTGTTAGCTTCTCATGTTCTTGTTCCAGGTTTATACTGTGTTTATCTTCAAGGACTTCTTAACATTACGGGAAATCATGTTGACTTATTTGACCGATTTCCCGACTTTTGGTTTTCAATGTTTGCTGCTAAAACTTTACTGGAGTACCAATTTACTATGACAGTTTTGTCATGAGCGCGATTGCGCATGCAGAATTTCGTATCCCTGGACCCGTTGGTTTTATAAATACCTCTCGTTCTTGAGATTGCCCATGTTTTCAACTATTTTATTCATCTACATTTTCTTTCCATCTTTCAAAGATTTCTATTGCGAACGAAAAAAGAAAATCGTTTCTATCTCTAGAGCGGCGAAGCATTTTTATCAGTCTGTGAAGTCCTAATTTCTTTAGATTCTCTTACGATCGCGCCAGCTCTCGAAAAACCTAAAATTAACATCTTCGCGAAAGTAATGTGCAGTTGTTTGTCCAAGAGTTTCAATTCTTACTTCAATATTTATGTACTTTTTGCCCAGTGAAAAGCTACTCTATTGGGTGTGGCGCTCGAATCGAATTCGAATCGTGAATGAAAAGTGGAAGATTGGAGTGGTTCAGTGAATTGGGAAGTTTGTAGGTGAGATCAAGTAACTGAAAAGAAGGTGATAATTGGACGAATTTCTACTGTTAACCATAACATTTTCAAGCGAAGAAGCAAAACGAACCCTTAATAACTGCCGTTAACGTGCCATAAAAGCTGGATTTCTCGAGATATTCCGTTTCTGATCATACTAAATTGGTTAAATTGCTTAGTTAAACTGAAGCGTGGACAAAATTAAGTGAGTACAGTTAGTGCTTTCAATGCTGTGAGTCTCAAACTACTGGCTGAAAAGGCCAACGTTTCGAGGGTGATCATGTGAAAATTGAACGGTTTGGGACATAAAACTCATATAGGATTGTTCGCTGTAGTGATTCCTTCTTTCTCTTCTAGTTTTCTCTGGGACTTTTTTCTCTGAGACACTGAGTTTTTTACTTTTGTCACGGCACGGCATCACTTTCTTACACACCGTGAGGAAGGGAGGGGGGATTTCTTAAAAATGAATTGCTTGGGAATCATTTATGCATCCAAATAGCATTCGGTTTTATAAATGGGGAGCTATAGAGTGCTAGAAAAAAAAATTGAAGTTTGCGAACTTATTATGAACTTTATTCACATTGTCAAAAATGTGTTGACTTACGTTGTGTTTATTTGGAAAGGAAATGTTATTTTTGAACTAATTATTTTCGAAAATGGATTGGGAAGATTGATATTGCTTTCTGAATTGTTCTACACTGTTCAGTAATAATTTCTTTTTACAAACTCCTTCTTGATCAGTTCCATAGCGTCAAAAATGGTTAACATTGTATTTTCAGAGGAAGCCTAACGAGTCACTGGAACGCTATAAAAGGAAATATGATAGTCTGGTGTCTGACATAATCTTATGGTGTTCTGAGTTCCAAATAAATTCTCCGCAATTTACGGTTTGTTTAAAGATCCATTGCTGAGCTTATCAACATTAGTTCAAATGCTTTTATTATCCGTACATGTTCACGAAATTGATGGAAGTTTTACTGACTTGTCATTTTTGTCATTTTAAGCGTAACCTTCGCTTGGCCGGACTTTATCCAGTCTACCTGGAGCGCTTTCAAACAGAGCTGTTTGATTTTGCAAGTAGTATGGTATCTTTGGAAGATTTTGATAGCATGAGTGCCTACAGGTGAGATTTTGTTTCCGCATTCATTAAAAGCCTAGATATTTTGTGTCCGAATAAGCATCAGTCGATCAACTTTATTTTAAACGTATTATTTCTCGGGTTAGATTTTAGTGATAGCCAACTGATGTGTTTAACCTTATAGCTCGAGAGAGTTGCGACAACTACTCCGTCGTAGAAATCGTCGAGCAGCGAGTACACAAGGCTGGTTTTAACGCAGCTGTTATCACAATATCTTCTCAGCAATCTGGGGCTAACTGATAGCGGTTTCAGAAATTGTGTTATTGAGTGAAGGCGACTCTGATTCAGCGGTGATCGTTACTTATCCTAACAGAAATAACGATGATGTTATTGTATTAAGTGATGACAGCCATTCCGGTGAAGAATTGATCTTAAGCCGGGTTGAAAGCAACTATGTGAGAGTGGGTTGCCAAAAATTTTTTAAAAGCTGAGAGCTTGTGTAATTATTATTGTTTATTGTGATCGAGGTGAAGTTTTTGAGAAGCGTTGGTTAAAAACGAATCTTAATTGGCTATTTAGTCCAAAATTCGTTCGATTGTTTTCTCTGCGATCTCCCACTTTTTCAAAAGGGTGTGTAGTAACTATTTCTAAACGTCACTTGAGCGCTTAATTCCTGAAAGACCTAGGTCCCTAAGAGTCATTGTTATTCACCAGGTTTGCCTTCATTCACCTTTAGCAATGTTCAGTGAAGTCTTATACATGGCGCATACCTAGAAGCTTGACCAAACACTTCATCCTTCCCCGTTTTCTCTCTTTCTTACCTGACTCCCTTTTCTTTGTAGGCGAGCAAAATGAATGTCGTTTTTCAATACCCTTTAACATAGTAATGGCAACGCATGTTTATTTGTGTGTTTTTTTCTGGGTAGAATTTTCATCGGCAGAGTTTTCTTTTGCCATTCTTTTTTTTTGTTCCTCTTTCGAACGCATGTCTCCGCACTAGTATCTTTGCAACATTATTAATGTAAGATCTCAGCTATTGAGCTTTTTACTCAGCTTTATGAAGCTTAAATTTGACTTTTAGGATGAAGTTGCATCTTCGAATTCGGAGGCCTCCAACTTTGGTGATTTTTACACTCGACCTGCATGTCGTCTTTCATGTCCTACACCAGGCCCAATACATGTGGTTGACTCCTTCGGCTTTTCAAGAGAAGTCTTTCCGACACCTGCAAAACTCTTATTGCGAGTTAATTGTTCTGTGAGTCTTTGTAACAATGCAATCACAAATATTGACAGCAAATGCTACCTATGGGGGCGGGGATAACGCAGTGGTTACTGATGCCGTCTATCACAAAAGAAAGGCGCTAACTCGATCACTGCGCCAGTGTCGTACTCCAATCTATGTGTAAATGTCTCAACCTGACCATTTCCAAAATTGGAAGGAAATTCGACTCTACCAGCATTCTACGAAATTCATAAAGAAGACAATCTTCTTTTCAATCAGCAACTGAAACAACATGCGACATGTTCGAAGACCATTGTGGATGTTGAACACGAGGAAGCGAATTGAACGCAAGAAGTGCTGAGATCCGCACGGTAGATGTGATGACGGATCATGAAAAATAAATAAAAATGCTACCTTTCATATCCAGTGTTGCCACAATTCGTTTTTATTTGGAGTGATGAAGTGGTTGTGTTATTATGTTAAATACCTTTGTAGAGCATGCCGGTGAATTCTACACGAAACGCATCAAGCAACGAACAATTACTCACCTCAGGAGCGTCGTTAGAACATGGCGACAGTACGGTAGGTTTAAATACGTTATTATTTACATCACGTACATTTCTTCTGAAATTCTGGTATCTGACGAATGGTGAACTAGCTAGGAAGTACAAGTGGATTTTTTTAAAAAATATTATGTTAATCAATTTTCGGAAGGGAGAACCGTTGGGATAATACATCCATCCTTCCTTATTCGTGGCCAGCCCTCATGCCATACATTCGACTTCATTAGGCATCTTTGGAGGTAATTCAGTGCATATCTATCTGCTTTTACAATAACTCGCGGTGGCATAACGGTGTATTGGGCCAGTGATGCTATACTCTCAGACAAGTCTGGTACCAATTTGCCGACTCCGGAAGGTATGGAACGTTTGGTGATCCAGAGGCGCGGGGATTGGTCCTATGTGTGTATATCGCAGGGCGCCCCGACGTCCACGATATCGGGAACTATCGCCCAATCTGTTTGCTGTCCGTCGTCTGCAAGTTTTCTGTTCGAGTTATCCTAAACAGTTTGACAGAACACTGGATGAATGACAACATGTGAGCAAGCAGGGTTTCGAGATTTATTTAGTACGGTGGACCATATCTACACGATAACAAGACTTATTGAAGCATCGCGATAGCACTAGAGACAGCCCTATCTCACTTTCATCAATTTAAGGAATGCTTTTGACTCTGCTGTGATAGAAGCAATAATGGAAGGCCTGAACGGTTAACAAGCCCCTACTCAGTATATGAAGGTTCTTCGTAAGTTATGCAAAAATTTCTCAACCAAAATGTCGCCATTCTACAACGGTATTATCTTGGGCGTCAAAAGAGGGTTTAAGCAAGGCGATACCATCTCGCCAAAATTATTTACCACCACTGTCGAGAACGTCGTGCAAACACTGGAATGAGCAACATGGGAGTGAAAATCGGTGGTCGGCAGTTACACCATCTTCGCTTTACTGATGAGATCGTCCTTATAACACCAAACATTAGCTAAGCCGAACGTATGCTTGCCGACTTTGATAAAGCCTTTGGAAAGATTGGTCTTCGGCTAAATCTCACAAAAACGATGTTCATGAAGTATTGAAGCATGAATGATTGGTTTCGCATACCCCATTCACGCTCAACGGAACAAATATGCTTCAGCTATGTCTATCTAGGTTGTGAAATCAACACTGTGAACGACTTCACTATAGAGTTGAGCAAAAAACCAGCGGCTTGGAGAGCCTTCAAGATCATTGTGGGTTATTGAGTAGATTAGACCACCCAATTTCGTGCCCAGCTTTTCGACTCCACGACTATTTCCTGCCTTAACATATGCATCAGAAATTTGGTCGATTCGTAAGCAGGATGGAAGATCACTCAGCGTAACAGAATGCATAGTTGAATGGACGATCCTAGGAGTATCCTGTATTACGCAAGTGAGAAGAAGTATCCTATCATCCAACGTTCATCAACGTCAAAAAATCAACGACGTCGTTTTGTACGCGAAATAATAGAAGACTAGGTGAACTATGCGCGTAATGCGCATTACCGACAGCCGGTGAGCAAGAGCCGTTAGTGATTGGATTCTTCAAGATGGCAAACGTACTGCAGGAATACCAACGACCTAGTGGTCAGATTTCTTCACAATATTTCCAAAAAGAAGGTATATTGCCTAACGACTCCTTAGAGCGAATGGAAACCATTGGGCTACATTTGCAGGCGACAGGGAAAGATGGAAGATTTACTAGCTCCCGTTCAAGTTATTAGATGATCAACAGGGCGAAATGTGACACAGGCGACTGTATCAATCAAAAAACTAGCAGCCAAGCAGTTGTTTTTCATTGTTTGCTCGTGTATTAAAGTTCCTTTGTAGCGTTGGTTTTTTAGGGCACATATAACAGTGTTGTACCCTCCTAAAGCCTTTCTAAATTAAACTAAAAGTATTATTCCAGATTTTGTTTTGACTATTTGTAACTCTTGGGGATTGTCAAGATACTAAACATATTCATTTAAGATAGTTCTTTCGAGCGATGACGAAGGCACTATAAGATACCTTACCCCAGGACGCAGGTTTGCATTACACTTTTATAAACATCTCAGACTTACAATCATTTATATGTTCCGTTCAGGATTGTAAGTCAACTTCGGTAGATTGCCATATATTAGTTTGTCAGATTGCCTTCGTTTAGGAGAGTTAATACTGCTCTTTCTTTGGTACAAGGCAGTGTTTTGTCATCACTAAAAGAAGGTCCATCCATTTACGAACAAGATTTAATGAGGCACGTATCCTGTTTTTCAGGAATACTTGAATGGTTACTTGGATACATGGATGATCCGTCCCCACGAGTTGTGCGGACCCCAGCACCTTTGCCTTTCGTTTCTTTCCCGCGCAGTCGTCATCCATGATGGTGGTTTTGTTCGAGCATGGTAGCATGTGCGAGTCTCATACCGAGATCTGTAAAATAACTGCAGCTGCGGGTACAGCTGATTAACTTTGTTTACAAACACGTCTGCCCAGCATGTAGATGGACATCCTAGGGGACGTTTGTGTTCTCGTGGAGTCCACTATACAGTTTTTTTCATCCATCTGTCGTCTTTTATTCGCGTTATGTGACCGGCCTATCTATATTTCGCTATCGACGTACGTTCTTCTGGATATCGAAGATGTGACAAATTTCGAACAGCAGGGGATTCCAGCTAAATATTGAAAGTGCCGGTTATATTTCAGAAGACGTGGCTCAAGCACTCAAGTAATTTGTTTTTCACGAGTACAAATTAGAAAAGGGAAGAAACTATGTTTTCACATCGCAACTTCATTTTGTAAATAAATGGATCGTGGTGCATAATGGTGCATTATGTACGCCTGGAACGTTGTATTTTTGAAGTAAAAACTTCGTGGAACTAGTTGTGGCCTTCCTATTTGTTGAAAAATTTTTTTTTAAAAACTACAGTGGTTAGATACGACACGAAGAGCGCTCATTAATAAGCTTCTAATAGTTGACTTTTAAAGGTTTTTGTTCCGTTCTTATTTCTTCTTTGGTTAATTTTAGAGTGGACGTAGGTTCATCACTGTTAATGCATGGCGGTAGCTCACTGTCGTCAAAACAAACTTGTCCTGAGTTAGTCGACTGGCTCAATCCATCAGATGCAGAAGGAAAGCAAAATTTGGAGCAGCGTAAACAAGATTTGCCGAATTGTAGTCATTCTACGTACAGGTCGGTATCAAGAGCATTTTGACGCAAGGTATTAATAACGTCAAGAGTAAAATCTTCATTTTTTTAATTGAAAATGAAAAAGGAGCATTCTATTATGCCAGCCATTATTGTGACTTTTATTTTAGAGTAGATGTGACTTCTCCGCAGCATTCTCCAAAAAATCGTTTGTCGTCATCACAAGATCAAATGTTATGTGTTGATAACTGTGTTAAGCCGGAAGGTGAGGTAGACGGTGAAGCAACGCTGTCAAAGCGCGAAACAAGCTTATCAGAGCCATCTGATACCTTAACGGTTCAACCGGACACTTTGCACGATCGCAGCACGATTTCACACGTTTCGGGTTTTCAAGAAGAGAACTGTTCACAGCGTAACACAGTAATTTCTGTCGGAGGCGAAGTTGTATCTCGTAATGCTTGTTACGATTCGTCGGAATGTTCTGGGAATGTTGCGTCTGCCACTAGCCATGTTACATCTCCAAACAGCATTCCTACAGCTTCATGCTTGCCAGAAGTTACTTCATATGGATCCGCTGTTGTGCCGGTAGTGATAGATACACTTCTTGCAGTTGTTTCAAGTTTTTTGAAAATTTTTTTGCAGATATCGTTGTTCAAACCTGCAATTAAAAATATGTCCTGCGTGTTCAACCAGGATAAAGGTCTGCCATTTGTCTGTGGTTCACCCTCTTGATCATTTCTAACTTGTATTCAATTTTTTAAAAAGCGACTATTATTTTTTTTATTCTACTTGTCAATATTGTTGGTTGAGTGCGACCTCTTATAGTCGAGTGGTCATGAAACATTGGATTTTTTTTTATTACTGTGAGCTTATGAATACAAATCCAAAAGCATCGTTGCTGTAGTCGTTAATCTCTTCAAATATTCATTCGGATATTGTGACATACTAGACAATTGTAGAATTTTAAGGCGAAAAAGAATTGTTAACAACCATGTGGAAGGAGAGACAACGGCGTTTGGCTACTTCTCCACAATCCCTCTCCTTCAACTCTACAGTACCACTGTTGGTGGAACAAGAGGAGGAGCAGAAGAAAGAAGGTAGTTCCATTAGCCAAATTCTTTCGTTAAAGTACTGTCTTACTATCATTAACTTCTAGAAATCTTAAAAGTTTGAAGACATAAGAGGCCTGTGTTCACTAACAGCTTGCATCATAGTGGCTCGTGGAATTCGTGCGAAGATAATAAGCGAGATGGGGAATTTATGGCAACCTCTATTTAGCGGAGGTATTACATGGAAGTGGTTATATGATTGCCGAGTTCATAAGTGAAATGGCTCGTTTACTATTTTTATCATCTCTGAAGTTTTTAGCACTTACCAAGATTATTTTAGGGTGTTGCTCATTGCGACACCAACTACTTCTAAGATCTACACTAATACATCGAACTCAACTCTTCTGAAGGTCTATGGTTGACATGCTGTCAACTTTTTGATGTTTATGAAGTTTGCCAATCCATCCAAAGATTAATTCGGTTGTCAATTTCCGTTTACTCGGTCAGCTAACTGCAGGACGTGCTACAATTCAGGGAAATCTCAGTCACGAAACAGCACACCTTATCACAATTGGCATCTCTCGGCGAGTTTCCGTGGCAAGAAACTGTTAACGCTCTAGCCTTGCCGTCACAGAGTGGCAACGAAAACCGTGTTCAAGCGTTATTCCAAGCGTTAGTGGAAATTTAGAACGGGTCATATCACATCAAGTGAGCCCATACGTTCACTGAACTGCATCCATGCATAATGGTTGCAGGAGAACGAAGAAAGTGGAAGAAGTGTTAAGATTTGGAGTACATGTGAAGAGGCACCATTCAAGTATCTCTCTATTCAAAGACGTCTTTACATCAGTGTAACGACAGTTCAATGTTTTAACTTTTATTTTCATACTTATTCTTTTTTAATGGTAAGGTTATGTGGAATAATTAATTCAGTTCATTCAGTTAATTCATTCAGTTTCATTTTAATAACTGAGTTTATTGACCGCGCCTGAGACAATTTAATAATGTTGCACTGGAAGACGTACGGGATTGTTTCATCTTTCTGGCAGATGATTTGCAATTAGTGGTGGTACATCAGCGGTCTTCGATATGTTTGTTCTTATCGGCGTTTATATTTGGCCGAGGATAGAGTGGAGGATCACACCTGTCACTATCTCATATAGGCTAGCACAAGGCTATATGTGGCTACATATCGCACTGTTCATTTCTTCATGAATTGTAGAGATTGTGAAAGATATCGCAGTTTGCACAGTGCATTTTGCTGCTACCGATTATAACGTCTGGAATGTTTTCCTTGCGGAAAATTTCTAACGAAATCTCATAGGTGAAGTAATTTTTCGAACTTTTTTATTGGTTCCTGCTGCAATCATCGTATAAGAGGAAAAATGTAAGTAATTGTTAAAGGAACTGTTACTCTTACATTGTTAAGGAAAAGAACGGTTTGGTATAATTTTTCACTGTTTCCTTTATTTTCCTTTCCATTTAACGTGTAAGTATCGCAAGGCATGTGAACCTCTTCGCGTTTAGAGGAAATTTCTTGATGGTCGGTTTGTTATGTTCTCGTATATGACACTTGTCATTAGAAAGTTAAATAAAAGTGGGTTTGACATTTACTTACTTTTATGGGATATACTGGAAGTTGAAGATAATGGTTGTGTCATCCGTCCTCTCGTTGATTATGAAGCGACTCAAGCTTGCGCCAGTAAAATCTTCACTTGTTGCTATCACTGCAACAGTTGCCGAGCAAATTCTTCTGGGAACGCGAAGAGCACCATATTTTTCTTCCTTAATCCATCTTTGTTATCCTTGGTGGATTAAGTCAAAATTATCACTTTTGAATCTCCTCACAATATTTTCAAAAGTGGCTATAAGTACAATTTAAGTGAGAGGACAGTCTTCCCGAACAGTTCTCTTTATAACTTTATGGCTACGTCTTTCTTGATTGGTAAAATCGTCACCTTCAGGTTGTTGTATAGCTCATTATAGACCTTCGTGTACTTGACAAGGATTCACTAGCTTTCTTAGAGGCCTCGAACTGTAACATAGTCTGTGCCCTGGTGTGCGAGTCTAATCTTTTCCAGACCAAGTACAGTGTCCATCTTCACCGACCATGTGTTTATTCCGTATCGGAAGGGAGAGCCATTTAAACGGCACATCAGTCCTTGGAGACATGAAGACATAGTTGTTGAATAGATTGGAATAGAAATTTTGGATAACCTCTCCGTCCTACCCAATCAAGCGGGTGCATACCCTGCAGGTCAGGTAGCAGCCATTTTTATTTCAGATTATTCGAATTTTATGAATTTTTTCTTCGCTGCTTTTCACCCAGAGACATGCGTTCGCTGGGATATAGTTTTTGGGAATCTTGAGTTATCATTGTTGATTTTGTGCATCATATAAATTCAGTGAACCCCGTACTCTTCCCATTCCGTCCTGGTGTATCTGTTTGTTGCGAAGTTCTTCGGTTATTCTCTTGGCGCTAATTTTTACGTTTAGGTGACAATCACCAACCTTAGTGTGACATTCCATATAAAAGTTCTCCTAGTACATATAGGTTGACTCAGCCTTGTTTTCGTCATAGTTGACGTTGTGGCATAAGCGGTGAGGATTATCGGGTCCCGCACCCATTCTGCACCATTTCAACCGTAAACGACTTATTCAACGTATTTGATGTTCAATAGAGTTAAAGTTTAGCAGACGTTAATGGTTAAACTCGGGTTAAGAGTGATGCTAAATTAGCTGTTATTGGAATGTCCCATGGAACAGTTCATTCACCGTATTGTGGATAGTTTTTTTTTGCGTAACTCCTCGTCCAACCCATTTACTGAGAGAATACGTATTTTTCTTAATCTGTTTCATGACTGTTTGTGCGAGAAGTAACCACGAGCTTCTTCTCGAGCTCTAGAGCAGGACCTGGACGTACTCATGGATTTCCTACTAAGGTTTATCAGAGTAAACAAAAGATTTTCTTGATGCAGGAGATTTTTGACCACCTCCAATTAACTGTATTCACTGTTGTACTCGTTCGACTTGCGGAACACAACAGCTAAAGACCGCACAACTGCTATGTTATGCTTGTACTGATATAGTGCATGCATGCATATGTCTACCTACACATAGTGGTTACGTTATTTTGGCTTGCCAGAGATCCCATGAATCTACTTGTTTAGCAGGACAACTGTCAAGTTACTTTTTCGTCTACGTTTGACCACCCATTCTCCACCTACGATCGCGCCAACATCCTAGGTAGAACCGTCGACGTGTTTGAACTAAATGTTCTCGTCGATCGACAAGATACGGTAATTTCTCGATCATTAGTGCATTTCATGAGAATAGGTCGTCTATATGCTTTAACAAAAGAGACTTTACTTTTTCGCAGTAATGACATCTCGATCTTTTACATAGTGCTCTTTCAAATTCGAATATGTTTGGACTGAGATTTCCAAAGGATTGAAAATGAAACTTAAAGGTTTTGAGACTCCTACGGTAAGACTAGCTACGGTAAGACTAGCAGCTGCATAGATGAATGATACTTACTTACTTGATACTTGAACGGCCCGTCCTCACTAGTTGTGCGGACCACAGCATAATCACCAATTTTCAGAGATTTGCTGGTTAAGCAATTGTGGTTCCCCGGAATTCTGAGGACAGCCTGGCCAAAGTCTGTCCCAGGTCGTCACCACGACAGGCAGTCACAGCCTTTGTGGATCAGAGGGAGATTTACCACAATGCGACTTTGATACCAAGACGGTGGTAGATCCTGGTATTGGTTTACTCTTAGCTAGCCTTCTTGATGGAAACGTCGGACTCCTTCTCAGTTTGGTAGACCGTGCCGAGAGACGAATCCACCTGCTGTGCATCGCAGTCCGACACCCAGGAACATTTCTCAGCCACAATGAGGCGGTAAACCGTTGGGAGGAATAGACTGTCAATTAGTGGTAAAGACGGACGGCGTGTGCGAACTGCTAGTCAGTTTGTTGCTTAGATAACAACATCATGGTGATGTTTCTACATCATCTGAATTGCAATCCAAAAGTCCATTTGGAGGAAAATGAATGTTACTTTGAGGAACATCATATCGTCCTGCTGGACGGAAGTACAACTTTATCTACGTTTGTGTTCCAATTCCGAACTTTGAAGCATTATTGGTAGGGGCCAGAATACATTTAATTGCCCCAATAAATCAAAGCTTCATTACGGTTTAAAAAAAAGAGTTTTTTTACTGTGTGCAAAGATTTGTTGACTCTAACTGCTTTTATTACAATTAATAACATTCACTATGAACTGAGATACATTGGTTTAAAATTGAAGGCGGCCGACTCCTAAAAAAGTTACATCATTGCGATTCTGTTAACACTGGTTTAGTTTACTGAATTTTTTGAAGTGACACGAGGTTTTTAACACGTGTTTTGATGTGTGTTTAGTAACTAAGTAGTTTCGTCGACTTTGCCTTCATCAAAGCCTAGACATATTGGTGCATGGTGTTTTTTTAGTGACCTTTATTAAAACTATTGACTTCGGCGCGTGTAGCGCAACGGTCGGAGGCGCCTTTCAATAAAAATGGGATCGATTCCCGTGCTCCTAGGTCACTAAGCTGTCCATCGCTCTGGGATCGGCAAATTGGTACCAGAGTTGTTTGGGAGGAGTGCCGCACTGGTTCGATACATCGGTAGGACGCCAGCAACTTTATTCTTTTATCTTTTATGAGCTTAGAATACCCACAAAATGATAGGGACACAACTATATAACAATAGGCCTACATCACTAAGAAGGCGAAATCGCTGAAAGGTTAGCCACCGAACATCAAAATGCATGTTAAGAACCTCGCATCAGCTCAAGAAAGTTCATATGACAGGATAGGTCAATTGCTCCCAGGTTAATCGAAAGTTAGTGTTTATCACTAGTACTGGTGTGCATTGATGTTTAATCCATTTTTTCCTTCGTAATTCTGTGACCTAGCATCCGCTTCTAATGCGCTTCTCTTAAACTATTGATAAATTACAGCGGACCTAGCGGAGAAGATAACGTGTCAGCATTGTGGGCAGCAAAATTTGAAAACATCTACAAGCCATTCTTTGTTGGATGAAACTACAGTTGATCCAGTTGTTGTTGACCTGGTCTGTTGAAGCTTTTTCATACATTCAAAATAAAACGTAAGTGGCATCATTTGATTCACAAAAAAGTGTCTTCTTCTAGTCTAATTCGTACCAGCAGTCATCGTGGAATACTTCGAATTTGGTGGATGTCCCATCTACCTCGAGGTGTTTCCAAGGCAGTTCGTCGGCAGATGGTATTCAGTCTTCCTATGACGATAACGCAGCGCTCGACACTACTCACAAGAAGAGGTAGCCGTTCAGATTACGTTTATTCCTCATTTCGACTACTTTTTGTTCCGATTATAGAGACCGAAAGAAAAAGAGGTATTCATGGAAGTTCTTATTCAAACAGTTCCGTAGGAAATTGCGACATGAGAGAAGCCGCCGAAAGCGCAAGAAGTATTGATTCTTTAGAATATCGTAATATTGTGTTAGGGATATTTTTACGTATAGTTTTTCCAGGTTGTATGAATTTATTGAGAAAATGAAGGAAAAATTGGACAAGGAGGAAAATAGCGAAAAGTCGAGTGAGAGCGACCAAAATGACGATAGTAGCGAGGAATTATTCAGGGGAAGTCAACTCTCGGCTGCTCGACATGTAGACACTGCGGAGAGAAGCGGAAGAGATTGATAATCATGTAAAAGTTGTAATAATACTTTTTATTACCGGTAACTATTTCTTTTTGGGGAACATGTGCTGCAAAAAACGTTCTACTGGTTCCATTTGTGCTTGAAAACGGTCACATGCGAATTCTCGGTGTAACTGTGTGATAACTTTGCGTTTGCTTAAGTGTTTAGAACATTGCTAGTTTTGTCCATTTCTTCAACTAAACTAATACGAGGGTCCTCCATTATGCTAGCACTTCATATATCTTATCATTACGAAGAGTTTAGTAGAGGTTGTTATAATAAAGATTCTGCTAGACAGTGATATCGAACATTTTCAACTAATTACAATATAAGTGCCGTTGTAACTTCGCTCTGAGACGTCTAACTAAATACATATTTCATGTTAAGAACTGACTTTTATTAAACCTTAGAAAGAATAATCAATATTCCTTGAATGTATATATGAATACATCACCGCAGACACAGAACACTGGTGCCGGATCTGTTTAGGAAAAACCACTCTCTGCAGTCTATTTGGGGACGCCGCAGTCCAGCTATCCCAGGACTCCAGGGAGAATTACTCGATCAGCATTCTTACATTCAAGATGAAATGAAAATGCTCAAGGCAACCGAAGCCACACGCTTCTTGGACAATGGATTCGAGGAAACGAATCGAATGTGAGAAGTACTGGGATCCGCACAGGAGGCGTGAATACGGATCAAGTAAAATTTTAAAAAAAATTAAAAGTGTCGTCCGCGTTTCAATAACATTGCTGTCAGCTTTTGGTGAGGTTCTAGTAGAAATGCGATGTATGGATCGATGCTTTTTAATGTGTTCTTATTTGCCGATTCTACACAATTGATGACTATGATTTATCATAGCTCTGAAAAAGTGCATCATGGTAGCGAGTTGAGCCTCGTTTCAAATCGACCCTCAGTGAGAGTGAACAATAACACATCAAAGACATTGTGGAGAACGAGAGCAAGCTCTTTTGGTCCATGTTCTTCTTGATTCGAATCTGGCCTGGAGTCTTGCTGCTTCAACGGCTCGCCCTCACTGGTTGTGCGGGCCACAGCGTAATCACCAATTTTCGGAGATTTGCTGACTAAGCCACTGTGGTTCCCTGGAATCCCGAGGTCAGCGAAGCCAAAGCCTGCCCCAGGCCTTCACCACCACAGACAGTTGCAACCCTTGTGGATCAGAGGGAGATTTGCCACTATGTGACTTTGATACCGGGCCGGTGGTGGATCCCGGTATTGGTTTACTCTTAACTGGGCTTTCTGATGGAAAAGCCGGACTCCTCAGCTTGCGAGGCCATGCTAGGGAGATCAATCCCCCGCTGTGCATCTCAGCCCGACACATAGGAACACTTTCCAACCATGATGACGAGGTAAACCGTTGGGTGATGCATCTTACATATCTAAAAGGTTAGATTAGGAAACTGCAAGAGTCGTAAACTATAAGGTAAATGTGTTGGAGCACAACGCAGTGTAAATAGGTCTACAGAAGGTGTATTAACGATTTACATCCTATCATGGAGCTGAAGAGTCTTCAAATGTCGGACTGTCTGAATGCAGTAGACTTGTCAGCAGCCACGACGTGTCTGGACTACATGGGTGTCTACGTCAAGAGAAGTTCTCTGTTGAGTACTAAATGGAGAGAGCAGCTTATCACAGACCACGCGTAGCACAAGACCATGTTGGACTATCTAATGGCTCGGTACAAGAAAGAAGTAGAGCAAGAAAGTAGAAACAAGTAAAAAAGAAGAGGAGAACACCCGACAATCCCCTACGTCATCCACAGTGTCGTATTCATCCATGTTCACCAGTTAGGCCTCCTGTTCTGACAATAAAGCACCGATTCTAGAAGAAACTTTGCCCTCCGCAGACATACGGAGTTCACTCTCTCTTCAGCCACTAATAACCTTGAGAGTATGTGTACTCAACCAGTAACCCGCCAGCAGATAGAAGCCTAGGTCGTGTCACACTGTAGAGAACGGGAGCTGGCAAACCCCACGGTTCATGGAGGAGTGGTGCGGCGTTCACAGCGAAAATCATTTGAATTTGGCGCGTCTTTCCTGAATCAGGGAGAGAACGCGTCGCGGGTGGTTTGCAAGTCAGCTGATCGGCGTCATCGATTGTTGCGAAATACCCTGTCCGACTAGTCAGCGTTGGTTGTCGTTTGCATGTGGTGTCGTTCTCAGTTCAGTTTGCAACCTTTCGTGGAACGAAGTAACCTGAGACTTTCGTGCTTCACATTGCTGTTGTCCGCTGAGGTAGTTCGGAACTATTCAGGATATTTAGGTCCAGGAATGTCTTTTCGGTTCCAGGTTCTGGAATGACCTCCATGAACTGGGTTGGCTTTGTATAACAGTCCTGCTGTCAGGTGACCCATTCCTTAGGGCCTAAACTTGTTTTCTCCAGATTCATTGTAACCCTATTGCTGTCTGGTTGTTGTTGCGCGCTTTCATCTCTCTATTGTGTCGTGTTTGTGGCGTCGCTGACGCTGCAGCTGTCCGTTGTCAGCGTTTGTCATTTCATTCTCAGAATCTCCTCTTCCAACTCGTATTTCTGCCATTGGGTAGATTTTGTTTATTGATCGATCAGTTCAAATGGTCAATTTTGCTGTTCAGGTTAGCACTCGAAATGAAGTGGGCGTACAAGGAAGAAAACAATTTCGAAAAACGCCGAGCAGAGGGAGACAAAATCAGGAGAAAGTATCCTGACAGGATTCCCGTTAGTCCATAGTTTCGGCTTGCAAACGACAGGCTCCTGGTGGTCTTTTGAAGGGTTTTAGATTTTCTGAGAAACGTAGTTACTTAGGAGAGAGAAAATAACGCGTTCGTTCTGTTCATTGCTTGTGTATATTGATCTGCGATCTGTGTGTACATACATGTTGGCTTAACTGTGACTTAGCGCCACTGAACCTTAAATTTTATGTCATTGGCTAAAATATCTGTGCTATGCAAGTTTCGATTGCAAAACATAGTGGTACAGTGATGACCTTGAACGTGATTAGCGCCCACCACATATACGTAGAAAGCTGAGAGTGAACAGGTTTAAGGTCTGATTGCCGAAAGCGCTTGTTTGCTTTCCAGGTTATTGTCGAGCGAGCTCCGAAGTCTCGACTTCGAGACCTGGATAAGAAGAAGTATTTAGTACCATCTGATCTCACGGTTGGCCAGTTCTACTTCCTTATCAGAAAAAGGTTAGTCTGTTCTCGTAGGGTTAGTGTTTGACGACGTTCTGGAAATATCCTTAGGTTTCAGGATTCATCTCAGGCCGGAGGATGCCCTATTTTTTTTTGTGAACAATGTGATACCACAGACGATGACAACAATGGGACAGTTGTATCAGGTTTGGTTCGATATTCGTTACAGTAGTCATTGTTTTTTAACATTATTGATGGTAAAAATACTCAGTGTTAGCCAGCTGTCAACTTGTAGTGACCGGATGCGGAGGGTATTGTTGTATTATTTCCACATGAAGATATATACTTATTTACGCTTGTTATTTTATTCTATACGACCCGTCTTTGCGTCTGCTGTCGTTCTCACATTCGATTCGTTTCCTTGCATCCATTATCCACTAAGGTCTTCCAGCTTTTTACGTGCGGTTTCGGCTCCTGCTTGAGGTTTTTTATTTCGTCGTGAATGTCGTTGAATGCTGATCGCGTTGATTACCCCTGGAGACCTGAGATAGCCTAACTGAAGCTATGCTAACGGGGTTGCACAGAGGGATTTTTTTCCAGGCAAACTCGGCACCAATTCACCGATCCCGGAGGAATGACGGCCTTAGGGCGGCGGGATCAAACCAGCACTGTGGTTGTGATGATTAGCAGCGTTACCACTGTGCTGTCAGGCCCTGAGTCCGTATATGGTGTATATATGGTATGTATGTACATATAAATACTAACATATACGTATACATGTACAGTATGTGTACGTGAATATACACATTTATATTCATATACATACATATTTATATGTACGTGCACGTATATATGTACATAAAGTCGCAGTCAGCATGCTATAACGTCGTTGTGGGAGGTGCTTCTCTTCTCGTAAAGAAGACTAGTCTATCAAGTTTAACGTCGCGTATGTGAGACTGTGAAATCTTGTTCATGACATTCTATATGCAGTTATGATTTTTCAAACGGGGCAAGCATGGGTCGTCGTTTCGATGTGAGAGCTTGGAGAAACATGTAAATGCACTCTGGAAGACACTAACAGCGTCCTTTTTTTTAAACAGCAGGAGTGAAACGAAAGGCCAGTAACAGTGTAAATAAGTGGTGGATTACCGCTACAAATCTATGGTTGGTAGGATTTATTGCAGTCAGTATAGGATAACGCGGGGATGCGTTTATGCAGAATTTGGTGTTCTTGCTTTCAAATCAGCACGTAAGAATAGTGGGTCAAGGTCATACATCGAGAACTTTTTGTAAAACATATAAGGTCGTAGGGTGACAATGATCTACATAGTTCGCTCACGCGTTGCCGCTTTTGTAACAATTGCCTTCGGGCCAAAGAAACACTATGAAGAATAAACCTCTCGGCGTTGATCCGTCCCTGCGGGATGCTCTATGCATTCGACTTCACTAAACATCGTTTAGAGTTGACTGAATGCATATCTTGGTGTCTATCTATATGTATATCCATCATGTCTTGAATGCGCGATTGAATGACCTATACAAAAACTCGCGGTGGCCTACCAGTCTATGGAGCCAGTTCCACTATTCTCCCAGAGAGGTTTGGTACGAATTTGCAGACCCCAGATTGATAGAAGGCTTGGTGGGTCAGGCGCGCGAGGATCGATCCCATGTATATTGCAGGCCAGTGAAGCAGTATACATCTGGAGTTTCTGTGTCAACATCAAAATTTTGCAGTACTTCGTTTTCTAAGCTAGAGTAGCTACGCAAGCGAATCAATTATTGACTGCTTCGGTGTTTAATCATAAACCATACACGTATTTCTCCGATCATCTCAGTGGGATGGGTCACCAGTGTTAACTTACAACTTTTTAATGATGTGTACATTAAGTACAAACTTCTATAAGTTGGCGTCTTGTTGCGTAGTGGTTGCTATGAAGTTGTATTCAGGAGATGAAGACATGACATCCCGACCATTTTGTTACAATGACTTTGTTCCTTTGTGAGTTTAATAAACCATTTACAGGATCATCATGAAGAGGATCTTTTCTTGTATATCGCTTACAGCGATGAGAGTGTTTATGGAGGCAAGGCTGTTGCAATATAGCTCGTTGAGCCCTACGACTTGCGTTGGCCGAGTTTAGTCCTATTGACCTTATGGTATTGTGCTATCATTTTGAAATGGGAGATCGTTTGTAATCTTCTCGAATCGACTCCAACGATTCTCATCTGTTTATGTTTACGAAGAGTCCAAAATGTAACACAATTGTGGAATGCTTTGAGGTCTCAAAACAAAAAAAATTGTGCTTCGAGTTTGCTTGCAAGTAATCTATCTTTTTGTAAGATGTTTTTTTTTTCTTGTCTAGCATGCTTAGCCAACGAGTTCTTTATTACCTATTGCAAATGACTGTAGATTTTAATGGACGGAGCTGGGCCTGGATTAGACTTTTGACGGTCTTGTGCTCATTTGCATACGCTGTATCGTAGGCATTCATTCCTGTGTTTCTGAAGTTCTGTGTGGTCATTCGTACATGTGTGTAAATACGTTTTGCTAATTCTGTACAAATTTGTTTTAGAGGTGGAATAAATTTTGAAAATCCAGGATTGTGCTTCTGTGAGATTTTCCATTAGCACGTGGAAATGTACAGTTTGTATAGTAAAAAATAAGGTTGTTGAGAAAGGGAAGGTCGTGTAACCAAATGAAGCGGCAAAGTGGTCGAATATGAGTGCTACATTGTTATGTACGAAGTGGTCCTGCCACTCTGCAACGAAATTTGCAACAAGGTGGTGGAGTGTGGTAGTTGCCGTCTGCGCTTAGTACTCATTCTTTGGCAATGCTCATGATGTACTTGGGAGTTAGGTTTGGAATATTTGACAAGGGTGGGTAGAGATCTCTTCCATGGTGAGAGAGGTTCTTAGCTCTCACTAGTAAGAATTGGACCCTGTCTGGATGGGTAGTATCGCGTTATGAAGTTTTGAGGTTGGTGTGACTTTGTGCATCAACAGTTGGTTTGAGTGGGCGAGGTCCAATATCCTCTGCACTGGACGACTGGCTGATCTCCGATAGCTCTCGTACAAGGTAGCTTATTCGGTTCGAATGTCACACCTGATGCATTCTATCTTTTGTGTGGATGGAGATAGTTACGTGGTCAGTGTGGCGTGTGGTATTGCGATGTTCATGGTGTGATGGTGTGTTTATACCACGAAATGCCTAAGGTATTGCTCGACAAACACCTGCATCGTATAGGAGACACTTGGCAAACAACGCTATTAGAGGGTCTTTAATGGTTGGTTTATCGATATTGACTATTTCCACCATAATCTTGCCGTACAAGATCGTGAGATTTCCTTACTTTTTGGCCCAGGTGAATGCATTAGTCAATAGATGCAAATTGCTCTGGATTCCTATGAGTGTCCTGTGTACCTCTATAGAAAATGCTACAGGACAATTCTCTATATTATTGCTGAGCAAACGCGAGGAGTTACTTTAGTCTTTATTACGGTAAAGCTAACTTTTCGGTGGATTTCGCCTTCTTCAGAGCCTGGAAAAGTCAAATTGAGTGCACAATGTTCCTTAAGTTCGAGTACAACCTGATCACTTGTAAAGCGTGCGGGGACCAATACATTGGCGAAACGGGTTTACCATGATGTGACTGTATAGAAGAATAACTAGTCGGTAAATCAAAGCTTTATGAAGCGCTCCACCAGGCATGCGTAGCGCATAGAGACATAACGAGGAAGATCTTGAAGTAGAAGTTACCACGCACAGGAATCGGAAACCTTTCCAGGCTCTGAAGGAAGCGAACTCTGCCGAAACGTCAGCTTTAACGTGATAAAGAATAAAGTAACACCTCATGTTTGCTCAGCAAGAGCACAAAGAGACATTTGCATAATGACGAGGCTAATAGAAAGTTGTTAGTGGGAGTTGCTGCAGGACAGTTGTACCACACGTGGCTACACTTTGCTCATTGGAAAATCAGAGCAGAAATTCGTGTTCATAACGATGTGGTCAGCTGTCGTTTCTATGGCACCATTAGACATTCGTATCTACTGAGGGTACTCTTTTCTCTATGAAGTAAGCCTTCGTGGAGGAGACTAGCATTATAGTTCCCAAGATCGACTTTCTATTAACCTCGGCATTCGAATATGAATGTGTCGTTTTCTTGTTCAGTAATCACGAGGTTGTTATTCAGCACACCTTTGCTTCCTTACAAATATAACACATACAACACAACGGTAGCTGACGTTTTGGCAGTATCGCCTTTTTCATAGCTTGGAAGGATATACTGATATACAACCTACTAAGCCAAAGCTTTAATAACACAAAAAGACGAAAAACTGTATGGTAATTACATGTTCAACAACTTCTCGAAAAACTCACCGCTTTTACGTGACTTCCAATGAGGAAGATTAGAACGGCTGATTATAGTCGCATATGGTTGATGACTGCACCATCCCACATCAGAAATTGATGCGAACGTACGGGATCAGGTCGCGTTTGACCTCTGGGCATTCCTACCTGCTGTTTTTGGCATTTATCCAAAAAGCCTCAAGAAGTTTTCGCTCTGGTGTTCTACTCTCCTGTGCAAGGATATTGACTTTTACTTCAAAATCGTCTTCGCTATGCTTTTGTATCCCATACGTGCCTAGTGGGGTACTTTGTCTTGCTTTTCGTTTGCCATCTAGGTGTTCTTTTATACGGATACACAAAGGTCTGCCCGTTTCACCAATATTCATCTCCGCAATTGTTACACGAGATCAGGTATATCGTACCTGAACTCATGCAATCACCGTCCCTGCCGTAAGGGCAAATTACGCAATTTGTTGTTTCACACAGACGGTCATACAGGCGGTTGCGAACTAATTGGCGACGTAGAGTAGCCGGTGGTATTTCAACTATCGCTACCGATTCCTCCAGACCTGACCTTCTTAAGCATCGTCCAATATATTATATTGGACATTTTATTTTGAATTTTATTCATTACTGAACAATAAAACGACGCATTCATAAAATAATACGGTCGTAAGGAACAATCGGGCATTTGAAGAATTTTGCCTTGACGTGGCTGACGTGGCATTATAAGTTGTACTACGATTGCTGTTATCGTTCTATCTTGTATTCCGGAATATTCCTGCGCTCAGTGGAATTTATAATAATTTCGAAGAAGCATTAGCCCTTTTGCGATGAAGGTGGTTCTTCAATACCTAAGTTTCAATAGCTTTCTCAATCACTGGAGTGTTTCAAGGGTTCAGAACTTTATCGAGTTATCGAGGAGAGTTTGCACTACCTATACTGTCCTTTGAAATTTCAATATACTTATGGCTAAAGAATTCAAAAGGTTGAAGAAGTAGTTTGCTGTTTTAAAATTTCCAAAGGAAGAGTTTCAGCTGCAAATATAAGCGATACAGTGGTGAACACCAACATTTCACGTTGGATAAGGCCTCGCTTGTTTTAGTTGCTTTCGTGCTCAAAATACATAAAGCAATGAAGTGGAACAAATACATTTCATGAGCAGCAGAAAACTAGAAACCATTAGACATTCATATCCATTGAGGGTGCTTTTTTCTTACATGGAGTAAGCCTTCGTGGGAGAGACGCATGTGGTCAGCTTTCGTGATAAAACCACAGAATCTTTGGTCTGTAGGCAAAAACTTGTATATCCTAATACTTTTTATCGATATCAAGAAAGTTTACTATGAGTTAATCAATGGTTATCTAAAGTTTAAAGCTGCCACTATTTCCACATTGTATGACTCCTCTAGCGGCGCGTGTGGCGCAGTGGTTGGAGGCGCCTTGCAACACACACGTGGAGTCGATCCCCTCGCCTATGGCCCACCAAGCCCTCCATCCCTCTGGGGTCGGCAAATTGGTACCACACTTGTCTGGGAGGATAGCAGCACTGACTCGATACATTGGTAGGCCACCGCGAGTCATTGTAAAGGCCAGATATGCATTCAGTCACGTCCAAACGATGCTTAGTGATGTCGAATGCATAGTGCATATCTCAGGGGTTGATCAACGCCGGGAACTTTGTCCTTTTTTATCCTTTGCGACTCCTTTGGAGGTTACGTCGTCGCGAATATGTGAAATCGGAAACTCTTCCGCGTTCATAATGAGGAGCTTCTTTCTTCGCGGAGGTTAAAAACTCAAGGTGACCAACCGATGTCAAAGATTTCGTGTGTACGTACTGCTCGTGCCGCGATCACACGAAAGATGTCCAGCAATCCCTCTCGTATGGTAAGAATCCCGTTATATCACAGATTTAGTCCAACTTTGAGGTAACATAATTTGGTAATCTTCTTATTAATTAATTAATTTATTGACGGATGATGAAATAGACTCTGATGTAGTGTGCGTTACGGCACTGAGAGTAGCAGGAATACCAGGTTCTGTAAGAGTTCTTCATTTGTTATAAGCGCAAAGCGTAAAGATGTATCTACTAAGCTGCTTAGTGGATGTGTTATTTTGGCCGAGAATCATTAGTTTGAAGCTGACTAATATGTTACTGAAGCTGATCCAACCTGCAGGTTTTTCAAGGATTTGACGCCGATGGCAAAGCTTGGTTTCTACTGGAATTAGATCGGACACGATGATGTATTTTCGCTGAGTCATAGTGGAATTCTAAGTGTGGGCGGTACACACTTATGATTAGGTTTGTCTGTATGTTTGTATGTATGGGGATTGTACTGAGCGAGTTGATCTGGCCAAACGTTTGCAGCCGAGTAACTAAGAAATGCAAGAGCGGTAGTTCTGGATCATATTTTAAACATAAGCGACTCAGCGTTTCTGTCAGAATGCAGCATTCTGTCCATTAGTACGTGTCACGGCAGAATTACCAATGAATCCATAGCTTCAATGAAAGATCTTTTCCATTCTTTCGAACAAACGAAGCTCACTAAACAAATTGCGTGTGCGACATGGGAAATGGACAATACATGTTGTCCTACTGCAAACCGACTTTCATTTAACCTCGGTATGAGTGACCAAAATGGGCGCGTGTGGCGGAGGTTGGAGGCGCCACTGCGACACACACGTGGAATCGATCTCCGCATCCATGGCTCACCAAGCCTTCCATCTCTCCGGGTTCGGCAAATTGGTACCAGACA